GTTTAGCATAATTTTTCTTTCACTTGATGTTATCAGTTATTTTGTCTGTTTGAGATATTTATTTTTATTATTTTCTGTGATTAAATCAATCTCATGTTTGTGCAGCAGGAATATGAGATGCTCCACACCCTAAATGTTTTTGGTTTGAAATAATAACCATGCATATTGGTTTCATAAGTTCATGAAAAGTTCACTAGCACTGGAGCAAGCTTTGTGTCACTGAAAGGCCCTGATTAATCGCTATTACTGTCTATTGGATGCTTGCTGAAGCAACATTAATGAAGTGTGGCTTTTCCATCTGTCATTTCATGTTAATTTAGCTGGAGGATCCTTAGCTAGTACTGCTATCTTTGCCTTTTTACACTGGTCAGTTGCCAACTTCAATTTATTTACCGTCAAACAAGCTCTACCTTTTTCAGTCATGACTTTTTGTCCCACCCAGTCCACCAGCACAACAATAATGTATACATCACTATGACCTCATTCACTCACACTTGCATTCACTCTCCCAACACTTGCGGACACACAAGAACACAGGGCCTGATAACCTAATCACACAATGGACAAAATCATTTAGTTAATGGTGCTAATAACATTTTCTGCTCTTATCATACATCACACATGATCTCATCAGCTGTGAAGAAATGCTCCGTTCCACCCAACAGGAGTGGGTTGTATTCCTGTTGATATCTTGGTGGATGCCTGAAATTAGGGTTTCTTCTTTTATGCTCGCAACGATCAATCTAACAATTCCAGAAATCTGTGAGTGTCGGTGGTTCACATATCTTAAGAAACGTTCATCTTATCTGCTTCACACTTGGATACGTTTAATATTAATTAACTTTAATATACCCAGCAACCAGGGCTCGGTAGTAGCAGCAGCTGGGACCCATCAACTAAAGTGACATCTATCATTAGAACAGCGCATTAACGACAACATGTTCACAGCAACGGTAAAGACATCTGATTTTCCAATTCGGGGTTCTGTGTACTGAGCTTCACCAAACTTTGATTAAACAGGTGAACAACTGAGTCCCACAGTCAGTCTTTACTAGTCCACAGGTCAATTACAGCAGGTCCCTTTCACAATTTCAGAAACAAAGCTGCAACCAGCCTTACCAAAGGCCAAGCAAAAAGCCCACTCCAAAAAGGCATGTTTAGATTGGGCACTGCACTAGTGTCATTGAGTTGGCCACTTTACAAACCACTTTACATGTTTAACACACCCACTGGGATGCCTACAGTGGGCCTACAGATTCATAAATTGGTCAATCAGTCTCAGTATGGGCAAAGAACCCGAATGAACAGTCTTGCAAAAATATATTCAAATCCACAATGGGATGGCTTTTGGCAAAGGGCAGTGGAGAACATTCTTAGGCCAAGGTCAGCTTCCTCAGTTGACAACTTTTAAGATAAGATAAGATAATCCTTAATTAGTCCCACAACGAGAAAATTTACAGTATTACAGCAGCAACAGTCAAAAAGGCATCAGCAAGTATTTAAACTTCACCTGATGGCAGTCCTCTCTGCACCATCAACATAGACTTGGCCAACATCCCTCTTCAGTCTTATGATGCTTGACTGTGGAGCAGAAAAAGACAGCAGTGGTGGCTGCTTGTGGCACAAATAACCTAAAGAGTAGAGGCAACTCACACACGCCTGCCTTCAGTCAGCACGTCCATCACCACTATTGCCTCACAACACACGTGAGGTTTCTCTACCTCACACACTACCAATCAGTGTGGAAGTGAGTTAGTGTGAAGATACTACAGGTCTACCCTGTTAAACTTGTATATACTTTAATTACAGCTCTAACCAATTTGCTCCACATTAACAAGGACTCAAATGGCTGTGTTTAATGTGGGAGGGGGGGGTCTTTTTGCTCATTAGTTTGGGTTTTAGCACAAACGACTTCAAATTTTTTGTTTGTAATTATATAATAATCATATTTAGTGTCACTTACAATAAAATGATATGTGAGAGACAGTGAGTGAGGAAGAGGTACTTGAGGGGATATTTTAAGTGATGCCTTAGACTCAATGGTCAAAGATTCTGGGTCAATTGTCTTCAGATTCTGTCTTTTCTTTTAGAAAAGTAAGGTAGGTGCTAACAAAAACGTTTTTGGATAATAGAATTGGGCCACCGCTGCAGAGGAGAGCAGTGCTGGGTGATGTGTGTCACTCCCTATTGGATGTCTATCTAGCCCCAACTCCCAATCCAGTGGTACACTTCTAACTGAGTAAACTCAAACTGCACAGTGTACGGCAACTCCTGCCCCATCGCATTTTCTCATTTCTTTGCCAAGTCTGTATCTTTCAGGACCTTCAGATTATTTTTTTCTTCTCAGTCACATAACTTTCTTTTTTCTCTCTTTTACTATTTTCTCATCAGAAAGAACTCTAAAGCTTTTATCTACTTTCTTTTCAATTCAGCCACCATCACAGGGCAGTCTTTTCAGAAAACTGGGACACAGAAATAGAAAAGAGTGCTGTTTGAGAGGGGTCCTGCTTATTAGCTGACTTATTATACTACATTGATTTTGGTATGTCTGCGAGCCATTTGCTGTCATTATTGTGCATTCTAAGATCACAATTACTTGTTACTCAACTATTCTTTGACCACAGACTGGCTCAGACCCGAGGCCATGTGATAATATGAACAGTGGAAATAGACGGAACTTTACATCTGTCTTTTTGATTAAGTTCAATCTTGCCGAGTGTCAGTCAAGTGACAGCCTCAGGAAGCAAGGGAAGTCTCCACCAAGGAATAATTCCTGTATTCAGTTTCATTGTCACATTCATGTCATCTTATGGGGCATGTTTGTCAAAGCAAATAAGCAAACAGTTGATTTATACAAGGTTTGACACATGAAGGATAAAAAAAATGAAATATATGAATATAAATAGGCTTCATATAATTTTGCAGTATTCAATAAATATGATACATCTCTATATATCTAGCTAGGAAGAGAGAGAGAGTTAGATGTAGAGAGATCTACAACACATTGCAAATGGACTAAATAAAATCATAGACAGTATAAAAACGTTTCTCCACCTCCTCATTCAAACAGTCTGCGCAGTAGCAAATGGGAGGAGCCGCAATATGGAGGTCCCTCCTCAGCTAGGGCTGGGAAATTAACCAAAAAATGTATCGACCTCAAAACAACTTAATGTTGCTCATGTCAGTTAAAACTCCCCAATGCATGAAGTCATGAACTGCGGGATTTCCACTACGTCCTGCGCCGTATTACCCTTCCGCTTGTCCTCCCCCCTCACTCCCCCGCTGATCTGTGTTCAGTTTACATATTAACAATAAACATCAACACTAATCAGAAGTTATTAGGACACATCCAGACACGTATATACAACAAAATGATCCTAACTTCAAGTTTACTTTGTGTTTGTTTGATTCATACATGGTCATAAGGAAAGAACATTGCCATCACAGTCACAGCAGTAATTGGACACACACACACACACACACACACACACACACACACACACACACAGAGCTTCTTCACCAAGTTGGTCAATGCTTTCTGAGCTAAGTGGGCAAAAAGGTGCCCCTGTGCATTCTTCATACTATTTATGTTTCACTGGTGGGGACACTAATGCCTCCTGTTAACAATGTTCATGCATCCAGGCCATGGTTACAGACTGTAAGCCTATTAGCACACACAGCATCTCTCTCTCTTTCTCTTTCAAACCTTGTTTAGTCTTGTTCTTAGAATCTAGATGCAAATACACAGACAAACAAATATGCACATGACCACCAAAACATACAGAACACAATCTATCTTAACTCTCATAAAAGTACCTTTCCTTCTGTATTTTTTGTACTTTTGCTCCAACTTGTACTTTGAGCAAACATGCAAACAAAATTGATTGTCTGTGTTCTTAATACATTCATTGAGCTGTTAATCATGCATTGTTATTTTTTTGTATTGTGAATCTCTCTAAGCGTTGAAATGTCTATTAGTCATTTAAATATTATTAATGACATTTAAAGAGCATTACAGGATCTTCAGATGGATGTGCTGGAATAAAATCATCTGTTATTAAGATTGTCAATATTGGTTGAATACAGTTTCCTGCCATCACGCCATTTGAAATTACGTTTGTTTGGATGGTTGCTTTGTAAGCGTGTCTTAAAGGCAGGTCGGCACATTAAAACAAGTTTGAATCATTTCAATGTGCTGCTTTACAAAGACTAAATCTATGGAGGGAGTGTGTATTGTAGAGTGAGTTAATGGAGCAATCACAAGGTTTTCAAAGCTCCATCAGTGAGCTTGTTAAGATTCCATACATCTGCAGAGTTCTCCATTCATCAAGTCCCCATCTTAGCATGAAATGGTTTTTCACTCATAACATTATTTGGTGGAATAAAGACGGTATAGCTCAAGAATGAACTGGTAAGAATTCTTTACGAACCCTCCATTACTCCTCATTACTTCTCCTAGATCAAAACTCCAGAGTCGTACTCCTCACCCTCACTATTACTCTTTCAGCTGCACTGAATGTGGCAAGCTATGTGGTGGCTGCCACCTTCCATTCATCTAGTGACAAATGGCAAATACACTCACAGCATGACTGGATTACTTAACAGCGGAGAGGGAGCTGACAGCAGAGCAGGCACAGGTATGATAAGTGAACTGTGACCTGGAGACATCTGAATATAATTTATATAGTTTGAATTTTAGAACCTAAACTGCTACACCCATGGAGGACAGCTGAGGTGGGGGACTGCAATCGCATGACTTGACTTGAGACAGACTCGAATTTGAGTACTTGGGACCTGGCTGACAAACACTGACAAATGACTCGTCTTTACTTTGAGATGTTATTCATGTCGTGAGATGGACGACTTGACTTATTAGATACTGCTTTTATTCATCAACTTATATTATTGACAACAGTACCTTAAATTATTTCAGTGCAAGTAATAACTGTAAAGAGTTCGAAGTTCTAAAAGGCAGCAGAGGAAAGAAGTGGTGTACTCACCATGAAGACGTGATGAGGAAACACAGTGTGTTGTTGTGGTTGATGAAGAAGAATCCGTGGTTTAGTCTCAGTCCAGGCTCCTTGTTCTCTCTCTGATATTAACCCGTCACGTTATGGATCCTCAGGAAGTTTTCAAACGACGCAGACAAAATGTCAAACTTCGCTCACAGTTTCCAGGTGTGGCGGGAAGCGTCGGAGAAATACATTCCCCGGCATGCAGCAGGTGCAGTTCCGCTTCCTCCTCCGCTTCCTCTTCCTCTTCCTTTTCCTGCTCGTGTCAGTGACTCCGGCGGTAACGTTATAACAGTGCTAATGCTAATGCTAACGTCAGCCGAAGCTTGACCTGTTGCTAACAGGAAGTGAAAGGAGCCAAAAGTTCAACACCTGCGCTGCCCCCACTGGTTGAATCAGGTCACCTTTCATTCCTTTAATCTACAATTATTGTTGCTATTCATGTATTTATTAATTATTAAAATATAAATTAAATTATTTACATAAACCACAGAAATGTTAAGGGGTTGCTATGGTTATCCCAAGGGATCTACACTATTTGGATAAAAGTATTGGGACACCTAGAGGAGCTTCCATGACGTCTAACAGCTTCCCCTCTTCTGTGAAGGCTTTCTACAACATTTTGGGGTTTGTCTGTGGGAATTTCTGTCCCATTCATCCAGAGGAGCATTTGGAAAGGTGAGACGCTGATGTTGGACGAGAGCGCCTGGCTCGCAATGTCCGTTCTAGTTCATTCCAAAGGTGTTGGATGCGGTGAAGGTCAAGTTCTTCCACAGCAAACTAACCCCGACCGTGCATTTTCGGAACTTGCTTTGTGCACTGGGGCAGAGTCATGCTTCCCCAAACTGCTCCAACATAGCTGGAAGCACAGAATTATCCAAAATGTGAAGGCCATTTTAGATACAAAGTAGTTTTAAGTTGTGCTGACCTCAGGGTTCAGCACATAGCCTTCCACCGGCCTCGATTTACGCAATGCTGGCCAGATGGATAGAATGAGAGTAGTGCAAACCAGAATAGTGCAAAAATGGCAGTTAAAGAAAGCAGCAGTTGTATTATGATAGAAGCATTTACTCAAAAAAAGGTGAAATTAATACAAAAAGTGACACTATATGTACTATATGTGTCGATTTCGGTTGTTATTTATTAGTTATTTTGTCTCTAGCATTGGTAACAGAGTAAACCCAGGATGTTTCAGCTTATAGATCACACACACCCTCACTGCTGCTGTCCCCTGAAGCAAGGTACAGAATCCACCACCTCATTTAGTGCTGTATATAATAGGTTTTTATAGGACAGGGGGGAAAAAAACACATTTTAGTTCTGCCTCTCAGGATAGGTCAATGGGTGATGATGAAATTGGCACACCATCTTTGCCTGGTCTTGTTTGTCACTGGAGTGGACAGGGATAGAGAAAAGAGTCACTGAAAACTGTGTTGGCAAACTGAGGAGCTGTGTACAGATTATTAGCAGATGAATAACAGTGACATAATTATGAGCAAGCACAATAAAAGATTTGTCTTTTTTTGCCATCTCTCTCACACACACATTTCCCTCTTGTATCCGTCTCTCCTGATCTCTCTGTCTGTGCTTCCATCCAGTTAGATACTGTTTGAAAGATCACGTTCCCTGGCATGAGAGTGCTATGTAATTAACCTATGAGATTCCTGCTATTGCAACGTGCCTCTTGCCTGCCTCACTTACCTCCTCTGGTGGATTATTACTGCCATCTACTGGCCAACCCTCAACCTGACTATACCCATTGAGACAAAGGGATGTGATTTTACCTCCTCAATAATCCTGAGATGAGGAGGAAAATATGATGGAGACACTCTGAACTACAAAGACAAAACATGGAAAAGTAAAGCCAAGAGCTGTTTAAATAAAACAAAATGAAAAAAAACATAAATCCAGCAATTATAAAAAAAAACCCTTCATTTTAATAAATAAATACATTTGATAACACATTATCATCTAAAGATATCCGTGGGGATAGTGTGTACTTTTCTTATTTTCATTAAATCCAATAAAAAGACCAAATCCAGCAATGAAATAATCCCACTATACTGCACCATAGACCTCCACTGTTTTCTAATCAATAGGCCACATTACACTGTTCCTTGATTACCACGTGCACTCCGGCTAAAGTTCTACAACTAAGTAAGCATATCAATATTATCATTGGTTTTAGATCGGTTGTGCGAGCTGGCACCAGTTAGTGAATTTTTCAAATGCTCAAAAGGAAAATTATGTGTGAACCTGCAAAATTTCACGATATAGGTTCCTCAGCCTCTGTTTGGTTTTAACAGCTGCTGAGAGGACAGCTCCTCATTGTGCCCGTCAGGATGAGAGTTTCCGCCTGAAAACAAACTGAATGTCACAGTATGAAGCTAGACCAGAATGCAGCAGGGCCCCCATGAGGGAGGTTTTGCAGGTTTGTGTCGTTGAAGCAGTGGATTTAGAACAGCTATTTTTTGCTGTAGCTGTCAATACTGTGGAGTTATATCAGTCATTCCCTGGAAGCCCCCCTTGCTTACCTCGCCTGTCCATAAAATACAAGTACTCACCTCTGCCTTTGGCTATTTTTATTTCAGACACACGAGACAGGGAAGCTTCCCAACCTCGTTGTTCAGCAGAGCATTATTCCTGCAGAATATAAACATATGGTATTCAGCAAAATAATAATCATCACTGTGAAAAGGTTTGTTTTGTGTCTTTGTAGTTGCTATTTTTTTCTCTGCCCGCTAGACAGGTATATTAGTATCAATTTCTCTGTAATTATGTGTGCAGTAGGTGCTTACTAAGGCTAATTATACATTGAAGCTGCACTGAAGGAGTTTTATCTTGGAAGCGTGATGTAAAAACACCATAATTATAGATAATGTGGGTTTAATTAGGTACTTCTTAATGAACAGACTTTAAATGAGATGTTGCGTAGATGAGAGCAGGAGCTAGACAGGACAGGGGGAGACAGATTAAACTTTCTTTTAATGCATTGTCCTCATTTGCAGGGGTCGATTCTCCTGTATGAGCTCGCAATAGTGATATTTGACATGAAAATGGGGGTCAGCCATGTTGTTTGCTCATCAATGCAACCTCACAGTGCAGGCAAATCGATCCAGCAGCTGCTGCGTTCGTGCAAATCCCATTTAGCACCTGGTATACGTTCCATGGTGAACGGAATATCTTGTTCTCATTTCCCCGCTTCTGCAGATAAATCCTGCAGATTGCAAAGTGTCAAACATTGCTTGGCTCTCATGTGGCTGAAATGTATGCAGGGTTTTTATGGTGTTGCATGGCCATTCCAAGCCTGAGAAAGTAAGAGTGTGAATCCTGAGCTTTAAAATAAGTCATGAATCAAACTGTTTCTTCAAACACAGCTGTGGTTTAAAAAAAACCTCGACCTCTTTCTCTCTTGCACCAGTTTGGGTCGTGAGGATGACCTGGCTGACTGCCATGTTTTCTCAGCAGTGATTTTAATTAATGTATTCCGCCTGCTCCACCTCATCTTTGGCTACGTACCACGGCCTTCTTCCTCATCAAAGCAGAGGGATGTGATTTAGCTACCTTCCCCGCTGCGTCTGATATTTTCCCTCTCCTCCGCACTGATCCATCAATTATGAAACACGCTTTGATCCGTACACGATTGGCCATGACATTCATTGTCTTGACCTTTCCCATCCACCGCTGTGGTTATGTCCACTCCTGCACAGTTCAAAGGCTCCAGTCCTTAAAGTTTAAGCTCTCGCTGATCACTCCAAAGAACTGGTTTTTACTTTCTCCTCCATCACTTCACTTTTTCTCTCCTTCACCACAAATCTCTCAAAGTGAAGGTTGTGAGGCTACATGAGAGAAATGTAACAGGTCGAGGTCTCAAAAGCAGAACTTTGTTTGAATACATAATTGAACTTTTTTTTGCAAGAGCTGTCTTAAATGTCGACTTTTATCAGAACCATTGAAGAGCTTTTAAAGGACATATGACTTCTCCCTCCCTTTTCACTTGTGGAAACAGTGTTGCATCAAATACAAGCATTCATCTGAGAATATAATATAATATAATATATTGTTTAATGCTCTGGATTAACACAGCAACAACTCTTTCATGTGACGCTAGCCTGCACCTTTGAGGTAGAGAGACCTTAAGATTCCAGTCACATTCAGTCTTCTGCTTTGTTGTCTCTCCACTGCTCTCAGATCAGCTTTTAACTTGTGATGTAGGTTCAAGAGAATTCATATGGGGGATGAAGGACATGGATTGACATTTGTATATTTTTTAAAGGATATGCTCGGCCTAAATGTTGTCGTGTTCCCTGCAGACCCAGAGAGAGAGAGACGGAGACGTGTGAGACCAGACTTCAGTCCTTCCACTAACGCCCTTTGAAAGCCCTCCCTTGGTAGACATTGAAATGCTTTTAAGTGAAGCACATTATTCAGACTCTGCTGCCCCCTCTCTGCTGCCACCAGCACTGCACAGAGGATTCCCATGCCCAGTGGCACTGTTTGTTCTCTCAGGTGGGCCAAACACCCGCTCTCCAAGCCCCATGAATATGTTTACAAATCAACAGAGCCAAGAGGGGTGTGACTCCACTTCTGTGTTGAGGAGGGGGATTAAAATCTGCAGAGCCGCTCCGATCCAACAGATCACACAGCCTTTTCTCAAGCCTCATTTTGTGAGATGTTCCTTTCACCTGAGCAGCACAAAGACGAGCAGAAATGAAAGAGTAGAAGTCATCCTCATGCCCAGGAAGTGCTCAGCCTGGAAAAAGGGTGACATATAGCTGCGTTCTTTCAACATTTTGTCCCCAAGTGGCTTCAATCTTTACAGGGAGTGGCCTCGATGTGCTGTGTGCTTTTCTCTCCTCACAGATGACAGTGGCCTGAATGTCATCAGATGCAGCTCTGGCAGTTTGCTGAAGGGAACAGGAGGGAGAGTCGGGAGAATTACAATGTATTTCAGGTCTGAGGCAAGTGGTGCATTGCTGCAACTGGTATCTGAGGGAGGGAGGGAGTTGAAAGGGGGGTGGAGGGGGAGTGTGTGTGAGGAGGAGAACAGGAGGAAGAGAGGAGGGAGGGTGTGCGCTTTTGCAGCAAACTGTTGCTAGGAGACACTTGTGGCATCTCTTCTTGAAATGCCTGGATTCACTGACGAAGAGGCCGGAGTGAAACAGTCGTATCCTCCCAGGAGTTTGACGAATGTGGAACATGTTTTTATTTGAGTTTTCATGTTTATCACAGAGTCAACATGAGCCTTTGTTCTGCCAGAGCTGAGTGGGTTTAAGCTACCGACTGAAGACTCTTCTCCTTCTTTTGCATCTTTTGTTTGTCTGCTTGTCTATCCTTCTTGCGGCGTCATTGTTTCCCCCCCTCTCGGTCTGTTTCTGCCTCTCATTTCCTCCTCCCTCCCTTCCTTCACTCAGAAACAGTCACATTACTTTGTCTCTCATTCTTCCTGCGTCTTTTATTGGTCTCCCTCGCACCCTAATTCCCTCACTCTTTTTCAAATTCCGAGCCATATCAGTATAATCCTCCACGCAGATATTTGGTTATCAAAGCTGTCTGGCTGCTAAAAGCCTCAACTCTTCACCGGTCGCCATTCAGCTCCTTTCCCGTGTACCCACCAAGCATTGTAATTCAGAGAGCGTCACCGGCTCAGAATTAGAATAAAAGCATTCATATTCTAAAGTGACCTCCACTGCACCACAATACGTCAGAGTAAGATAAACTTGGACAAACAAATTAGGAGAAACTTAAATGAGCAAAGAAAAAGAACAAAACCATTAAAAAAAGAACAAAAGCTGGGATGTTTGAGTCGCACATCTGTTAACATAATTACGAGCTTCTATAATACATGGATCTGCTTCATCCTCATGACAGCCACCATTATTTGTGTTTTGTTTTCAAGCCACCACAACTTGGGAGAGAAAGTTTTACCCAAGCTTTTCAATTGTTTGTTTTAAGACATTTACATGCTGCATTTACTTTTACAGTACCTAGATTTCCCTCTCCCTTGGGCAGGGGATTCATATCACTGATTGACTTCCATTGCCTTGTCTGAGGCCTTAAACCTAATTGTTCTATAATAGATGCTTGACTCATGCATGGAGAATAATGATGTTTTTTAAGGGTCTCATTAAGGGGGAGACGCCAGGATGTGAAAGCGTGAGGGGGCAACTGCACTGGACACACTGATGGGTTTATAAACGGGAGTGTAATTGGTGTTGTAGTCTTTACTGCATGTCGCTGCACCCTCAGGTGAAATTACCAGCATGTTTGAAGAGCTCATACTGCAGTTGTGGATGATTTAGTTTGGCACAAAGAATGAAAAAATGATTGTGACATTGTACTGACAGCCTAACAAGTCTGAGAATGTAATCCAGGCTGCAATTACATACCTCTGCATAAGTATCATGTCAAGAAGACAGGGTAGAAAGTGTAAAAAAAAAATGTCCCTGTGAATCGAGTAATATGAATATTGTTTAATATTATAAACGTCACATTATTACATCACCTTGATTTCTCTGGGTTTGAACTAAAACTACATAAATAACAATGCAATATGCTTACGAATGAGAGTCAATGTATTTAACTGTTATGATGAAAATATGTCATTGTGGTTTGATATATTACAATTTAATCACAAATAAATAAATATAACAACAAAACGTAAATTACCAACCATATATATAGAACGTGACTTAAAAAAACAAACATGATTTGTTTTACGTAAAATGTGAACTTTAAATTCACATCGTGTTAAATTCATGTTTTCATATAGGCAAACCGATAAAAATTAAAAGCTTAAATTTCATAGGTCAACCAATAAATCCATATAGCTCTAAGTATAAGTTGCTGTATAACGAGACACAATTATGTTTGGTTAAAAGTAAGTAAACTACACTTTTATTAACATGTGATATTAAGCAGAGATGAGACTTTTTCAACAGTTTTATGAATTAGAGATGATTAACAAATGAACGAGAATTATCTGAGTGAAGTTTGTCAATACTTTTGGTCAGTTGGTAATGACTGATGTCAGATAGAGCTGGAAGTTAATTTGTTCAAGACTCACTGCTCGCTGCTTCACTCTGGAGAAAATAACTAGCCCTGTGTACCTTTAAGTGTGGCAACAAAAAGTCCATAAAGTGAAGCTTTTCCAGCAAGTACATGGCTGATGTTTTCTAAAAGCCAATCTCAATATTGACAGAAGGGACCGTCCTGTGGTCTGGGACTGCAGCTTCCACAGCGGGCTGGTTTTCCAACAGTCCCTGCTTTGTGTTCCACTGCGCCTGCAGCCCCACACTCCAACTTCTTCATGAGACTGGTAAGTTTAGTTCCATTTTCTTATATAGATGTTTGCTGCTTTATGTGACAATTTCCCCAAGAGACATTAACCCCAAGGTCGTTTTCTGTTTTCTATCCTCACTTCTCAGATTTTTGATTTCCGACCCGAACCTCCGATGATGAGAATGCAGTTAAAGGTCTGTCTCATTGCAGCTCTGCTACTATGCTGTGAGTGTTGACAGAAACTTCTCCATGCAAGTTTTACCATGCAATATAACAAAAACAATGCAACCTAAATGCCTATGAATGCCTCTCACTGTATCATGCACATGCATAAAACATCTATTCTCAGCCACGTACGGTAGTCAGGCATGTGTAGGGGAGGCACACTCATACTCACACACAGCAATTTGCAATTCTGCACAGTGCACTAATAGGAATCCCATTACAACAACAACAAATGGTGTATAAATATCTCCGTGCCTTTGGAAATTACCATGAACTGAGCCCTATTAAGAGATTCTGAACTCCTGTAAACACAAACCTCGGGGGGCTCGAGCCAATTGCTGGCTTCACTGTGTGTTGGCACAAGTGAGATGAGACATTTAAAATATGATTGAAATCCTAATGCAACATTACATCATTGCATCCAACCGCACAGCTCAAGGCACACTCTGACTCCAAGGATCTATTTAGCGACATGGAAATTAGACGTCTATTACTGAGCTAAAAAGATTCATGCCACACAATGGACAACTCTCACTGTTGTAGCACAAGAGGTTTGCTGTTGTTTGCAGACACATGCTGGCCAATCAGAACTGTTGTATCCATCTCTTTAGGACTACTGTGAACTGATGTACTTTGACTGAACGTCCCTCTTTAAAATATTTTGTGAATTTTGCTAATATTTATGTATGCATGCGTTGTTGCACTAGAATTAGTGGCCTGTCAAATGAGCAACATGGAACAATTTAACAACGATAAATAGCAAACATTCTGTTCGCCACAGTGACCAAACTAATTAAGTTTTTTTTAATAACACATAACTACACAAACAATATTTAAAGAGGTGCTCTTGCTCTGAAATACAGAGCCTTGGTTTGAAGGTTTCTGCACCTTCAATAGAAAAAAGTATTGTTGTTTTCTTTACCCTAAAAAGTTTTTATATTTAAATACTTTATATTTATATCAGGAGCGCCTGCCATGTTTTTACAGTCGTCCAAACCTGACAAACTGAAGGCTACCAAAGGTTCTCTTTCACGTTTGAAAATGGGGTGGCTGAGGTGAGGGGTATTCAGTTGCAACATGCAACTTCACCACTAGATGTCACTGAATTCTATCCACTGAACCTTTAAACAACAACACCAAACGCCCTAGTAACCATTTAGCCTAAGGCCCCAAGCATCAAATCTATTCCAGCACAACAAAATATGAGCCTAACCCTTCTCTAGCAGAGTATCTAGCACTCAAACACCCTGGCAGCCCCATTAAGCAACAATCACTGTTGTCCATTTTTTCCAAGACAACTAGTACACTTATGTTTTTGCCTCACAACTTTTCCTTTTTGCATTTTAACTTGCGTGATGAGGAGAATTGCTTTGCTTTGCGACAGCCAGCGATGTTACCCTACTGTCATTAAGTGCCATGAGTGATAAGCAGCTTCTTTCAGTCACTGAGCCCAGTGTGTGTTCCTGCGTCGGGGCGGCGTGATTGAAATATTCCGCGCCTCTGAGGTTAATGGAGTTAATGAAGATCAAAGACTTGTGTCTGGGCAGTATAATTAGTTTTTTGTCAGCGCAAAACACACTATGAATATTTGAACTATGACTCTGTCTGTCTATATGGACAAGTATCACATGTTCTCTGCAAGTGTGTCCAGACAGTGAGCGAAGACATACCAAGAGAAATATCAAGCAAATGATTAATAATATATAACAAATATTTCATTTACATCACCAAATGTATGTTCTTTTTAATCAGTTGTTCACGTCTTTAGCTTTCATTATTTTGTTACAGGACTTTTTTATGGCATTTTAGAGTAATCTGCAGTTCTGACTTATCTAATAATAATAATAATAATCCAGCTGTTGTTGTCGTCATCACTAACATTATCATCATCATCATCAAATTTGTTTCCAAACGTCAGAAATTTTGAGGAATAAAAAATTAACTTTCTTTCTTTTTTAATGGTTCTTTGTGATGTATTATAAAATGGAGATTGTTAATCTGAATTCAGATACTCTACATAATTTTGAGTGATAATTATTTTTGACAGATAAAATGAGTCACAGTGTTAATGGGAATGGTAAATCATTTTCCCCAGACCCCACTTATCTCTGGAGTACCACAATGCTTCATTTATACATGTTGAGAACATTTAACCTTCATCAAAACAATGCAATTGGCCATAATTGGATTTTGGTTGTTTTAATTGATTGTTCATCCATTATTAGTTGTATTTGTTGTCTCAACAGTAGGAAAATCTGTGATTTTAAAATACTAGAGCTAAATCCAGAATTGAATGCAATTCCGATGAAAATTCAGATAATTTCACGTCATTAGATTTAAACCAAGAAAGTAGTTTAAAGTCACATTCTCATCTCCTCTTTCTGTAACTCTCTCAATTCCAACTCTCAGTTTTTTCTTTTCTCCTTAAGATGTCGTATTAACTTGTGCTGCAGAACATGACAAGAGAAAAGGTGAAGAATTTCAAAGAAGTGATAAAAACGCCAACAGCAACATAGAGGTGAAGAAAAATGACACATCACATGTTGGAAGATCTAATGTTGGGACTGCAGGGAGGAAGGTTGCGAAGACAGGAAGTCAGAGAATTTCCATGGGACCAAGAAGTGATATCAGCTGTACAAGGCTGGGAGGCATCTGTCAACCAAAGCGATACATCTGCTTAGGCCAATACCTGAAAGACAAGTGTTCAGGGGCCAAGACGCGGCAGTGTTGTACACCAGGTATAGAAAAACATTAAATACAAACACGGACAAACTGTACACAGGATTAAAAGGGTTGTGTCCATGTTCTCTCCAGTCTGAGTTACGATAATGTGTTATTGTTGGTGTGAGGCTGTATCAATGTCTGACACTCACATGGAAGAGATCAATAAATGACAGGTGCATGAGGTGACTCAGACTCAGCAGATGTTAAAACACCTTTTTGAAATAAAGTCTTCATAATTGGCTTCCAGCAGCCTTGAAATATTGTGTATTTTTTTACTTGACTCCTAAAAGTATAAAATATATTTTTTACCTTTCTGTGTAGTTGGAGCCTGGAGTGTCCTTTGTGCTGGTCATCACAACAACAGAGTGAGGGCCTGTGACGTCCACGGCTGCGGAGCTTTCAACTCCAAAAGGTGGTTCTCCCTCCTGATGGGATTTTTACGCCTCAGAAGATCAGTGATGCTGCAGGATCTGAGCTGAACAGAGCAGATTAGTTGATAAGGCAGGATTCCTGTCATGTTTGCCTTCAAATGTGGATGAATTAGGAGACACAAGCAGAGATAAGTTCAGCCTTTTTGTTGGCATTTATGAAAGCACCATGTGCAGCAGAGTAGCCAAGAAACAACTCCTCTCTTAAATAACCTCAATTAAACCATCAGTGGTTGAGTTCACTTTACACATAGACATACTTGTATACACAATATTTGGTTAACTCAATGTCTAAACATGCATATTACAATAAACTTAATTAATCAATGAACAGTAATATATGAAATATATGTAAATGAGGCTGCTTCTAGAAAACATGAGTCTGCTTCAATCTAGTGAATCATCAATCATCAATCATTACAAGTAGAAAATGGTCTGCATATGTAAAGTACTTTTCCACACAAACAGACGGTGCTACTATGTTCTGTACTTTTCCTGTCACACACCATTCACACACTGTTGTCAGGGGCGGCTTGGGGTTCAATATCTTGCCTCATGACACATTGGCTTGCAACTGGAGAAGCAGAGGGATTGAACCGCCAACCTTCTAACCGCTCTTCCTCTTCTGCCACAGCCGTTGCGTTAGCGGGGCTTAGTGTACCATCATATAAGATTTGCAGGCCAATGGATCTTCCTATTAACACACATCCAGGACATCATGCACCTGAAGATGGAATTTCTATCCCCTGCATACACTCACCAAAATTGTGGCTTCTAACGTGCAATGCTGTGTTACCAAGATTGTTATCAGGAAGCTCAGCATGACCCCTCCACATGCCTGAGAAAACTCATGACAGGTTGTACCTTAAGTGATCATTTAGGATATTATGATGCCCTGGATCAGCAAACTTTGTAAAGTAAAATCTATGATCTGTCTCAACCATACTTGCAATTAGTGCTTCTGTTCAGACCGTTTAGTGAGATATGACTACAGGCCTTTTGAAAGATGATTCTGTAATAACCTTTCCTGTCACTTCTCTTACAGAGGTAATGGCCTCCACAAAGCAGTGGACCTGGTGTGCGATGACTATGGCATTGTCAACGCTCCGTTCTCAGGAACACTGGCGGGTCCAGTGAGTCGGAAAAACCGGGCAGGGAATGAGTATGATGGAGTCAAGTTAGTCAGTGATGGTAAGGACGACAAGATGTTAATATATGTGCACTGAACCAAAACTAAAGTTATCCAATATTCATATTTTACTGAGGAACAATGTGATGGAGCAACAAATATTTCCATTACCATCCATCCTGCCATGCTGCTAAAAATTCCTAGAGCTCCAAAAGTAAATAATGGAAAGGCAGTTTTTTATTCTAAACCACTGTAATCTTGTACTGTTAACCTTGAAAAGCTAATTCCTATAATATGTAGTGTACTGGGTTGTAGATGGGTCAAAGGCGACGGTAGGATAATATGGTGAAGGCGTTGGGTGCGGATGAAAAGGAGTGATTTACAGGGATTAGTCAAGGTGTTCAGGAGGAAAGCTGAGACTCTGCTGAACTCCTGGTTGCCTCTAACCCTGAGCACCCAGCCGCATGTGAAACCCCATCAAAAGGCTGCTCATGAGTAACCCTAAGGAGCCCTATAAGAACAAAGCAATCCATCAGCTTGTGTGTGTACCTGGGGAGCCTTCCAGTGCAGCGCAGACGTGCCTTTGTGACGCACAATATGTCTACATGTGCTCGTGCGAGTGCACTTTGAGTGCATCTTGAGTTGATAAGGCACCGGAGTGATGAGTAAACATCATTAGTCCTCTACCCCTAATTGAACTGTGTTATCAGAAGAACACATGTACTCTCCTTTCATCTCCGGGCAAAGCACAGACATGATTAGACATCACAGAGACACATTACCTCGCCATGATACCCACATTAATGCTGAGACACTGATCATTAAGAGCTCATAGGGTCTAATGATGCTGCTGCACTTGTTGTACACTAGCCTACTTTTAGGGTTGTTTGTTTCTAAGTTGGTAGCTTGCTTGTTTATGTCTGCAGAATGGTGGAAAGATGTCGAGACAGTTCTTGTTTAGGGTCTTGACCCTCTGATCCCCCCTTTGAAATCGTAAAGGAGCAATACTAGGTCTGTTATCTCAATATTTCATATTGATGAGGGGTATTTATATAGGGCTCCCCTGGTCTTAATGACCCAAAGCACTTACAAGTACAATTTTCACCCATTCACACACACATTCCTCCCCCTTGATCTATGTGCAGCAATTTCTCTAGCATGCATGACTCACACACAGCCAGCATTGTCGTCAGGGGGCAATTTGGAGTTCACCAACTTTCTGCTTAGTGGACCAACCACTCTTCCCCCTGAGCCACAGCTGCCCTCACATGAGTTTGCAATACATTTGTACCGACTGTCTAAATCACATTAAGAGGGATCTGTGGCTTTTAAGAAGCAGTTGTCCGAAATTAGATGAAGATGCTATAGGACTATAGTTGCTTAATTTCTGCACTTCTCAGCAACAAATGCAAAGATTTTTTTTGTATTGATCTCCCACAAATGTTCTTCCAACTCAGCTGCATATGCCTTCTTCAGAGCTTTACCCTATGAAAGCAAAGTAATGACAAAAACCTGATGTTACAAGTAGAAACTACCTTAAACTCCCAAAGGTATTCTTGCATTTGTGTCCTTTATCTATTACAACAATATTAACTTTTCAACATTACACCCTAGCATATCCCAGTAGTAATCTATTACTGTTGGGGACATTGTTACTATTATGAGGTCTGATGGTCCATAGTTACGCCACTTTGTTCCACCATACCCGCACTACTTTGGGAAAGCCTCTTGTAGCTACTACAGAAATCTAACTATCCTAGTTTCTTTGTGCCTTAAATTTTCTGTGAGACTCTGTACCTGGTGACAGACAGAATTGCAGAATGAGTCTTATCGGAAACCATTCTAAATACCAATGGTGGCATTGGAAGTACTGTCTTTAAAATGTGTTTCTTTTGTTTCCGTCTAATCCAGTGCACTGTGTGAAGATTTTCAACATTCGTCCTTACCGTTACATCGGCCCAGCGCCTCAGGGCCAAGCCTTGGGTTATCTGTTGCCGCTGCAGGAACGTTTCTCGGGTATCACCTCACACCTGCAGCTGCAAATGTGTGACGACAGTGACCCTTCACATTTCATATGACCCTCTGAATTTCATCTGTCATGCAACATTTGACGACTTAACTTTTTGCAAGACTCAATTTGAACTGAAATTCAATCCCAGATGCATAATTACGACTCATTTGTATAAGCTCTTCAGATCACAGTCACACCAGACTTTGGTCTCTCTCATGACATCATTTTTAAGATATCTCACACTTTGGGAACTACATTGTTCGATCTTTTTCCATTTAATATGTGGTTAGTTACTAAACATTTCTAATTAATATGACACATTTCCTTCCTCTTTCCTCCTTTGTTTTGAAAATGTTTCATTGACTCACATCACCATTTTTGCAATATTCCTGTATGTGGATGATGTTATACGTTCTTGTTTCATTTCTGCTTTTGATTAAAATTGGATCTATTTCCTATAATTCGGATGGAAACTTTTCATGAACTAAATGAATCACTTTTCTCAATGTTTTGTAAATTCTAACTTGCTATGATTGAAATTTTCTCTCAAAGGCAGCCATCAAATCTGCTGCAGTTCTACAGTAAGGAGCAAGCTTTTGCAGATGAGGGAGAAGTGCCACATATACAGTATTGATGTAATGATTGCAACACACCAAAAGATGGAGCTATTTGGCAACAAAATTGTAGAATCTCAAACTTAATCTGTAAAGATGAGACATGTTATTATGGTATTTGTGTTAACATGTAGTTATAAATTACTTACAACTCAGTCTACAACATGACACTGTAGTATTAATAAAACATATCAATAATATAATTACACCCACAATGAATGACTGCATTAACCACACAAACACAAACAATACTCTAAATTCCCGTTGAACAGTTTTTGATCCAGCTTTCTGAATACTTAAAAAAAAAACATGAACCTAGAAACAAATAAATGATTGAAACAGTGAGAGGTACACTGATACACTGGATACAGGTATCAGTGTCATAAAAATGGTTGAAACACAGCTGTTAAACTAAAAGTACATTTAAATAGTGGAGCTGGGAGATAAATGCTTAAAACAGCCAAATGGAACAAATGATGAAAGATATTGAAAACATGACTATTTGTCAGCTCTACCTGGATTCACCAGAGAGACCTGAGAGTATATCTGATGAAGAAATCTTGTGAAATATAGCTATTTGAACATAGTACACCTACATAATCTAACAAGGGCCGCAAGGAAGATTCACAGTGAGAATATTGGGTGGCCCAAGAAGCATGTGCGCCCTTTGACACCCCCATAGAGATTTCACTCTCCGCTTTAGAATCTGTGTGTATTCTTCTTACTGACATTAAAACGTTACCAGCCAGTGGTGCAGCTTTGATTTTTTTTTTGGACCGGTGCCCTCTCCAGCTGTGAGATCCTGCAGACTGTGGTTCGCTCTGACGCTGGAGGGGTTGGTCCGTTGTGCGTAATCATGGTCGTCCCAGTGGCTGAAATGGGAGTGGGCGAGCCGGGATAGGCTGGGAGTGTGGTTGGAGCCGCCAGCGGGACGGGAAGAGGCACTAGGAGAGGAGAAGAGAGGGAGAGAGAGAGAGAGAGAAAGGGGGAGGAAACAGAGAGAGAGAATCGAAAGACTGTTAACTTCAGCGGCGGACTGTTGGATCGCCTTACGCGTTAAAGAGCCATTTGTTGCAGCGAAAGGACGCGGACCTGAGCGGCGCGGATGACAAAGAGACGTCGCCGTGCAAACTTTCTTAACCGGGTTTGTAATCGCTCGTAAAAACCCAACGAGAAATCCAGTTTTTCTTTTTTGAACGGGGAGCAACAGAGGAGGACATCATGCCCCGGCGCACCGTGCAAGAAGTAACCGTGCAGGATGTCCAGAAGCGGAGGAATCCGAACAAACACTACGTAAGGCCCCTTTGTTATACAATCATGAAACTGTAATGAAATTGCTGAATAACTGTGTTTCGGTTGTTGAGTTGAACAACGGATCGAGGTTTTATCCAATAGGCTCTTCTGCTTTTCCTGTGGGGTAAAGTTAAAAACAAAGAGAGTGTCAGATTACAGTTCTGCAAGACAGAAGAACTGGACAGAGAGACCTTCACATTCAAAACGAAACAAAAATGAAGATTGTAAACAGTCAATAGTTTATTTTTAGATCCAGATAAATCATAGCGAAAAATAAGGTGAAAGTTGAAGTTTGACACGTTAGAGAAACACAGTCCTCCTAAAGTTGTTCATTGGGTGTTTCCTCCTGTGAATCAGGGCGTTTTGCTTTGTCAGTTCATTATAAAGATCAAATGTTTGACCAACAACACAAAGTTTAGTCCTTATCTTGGATTTGAGCTAAATATAGTTGCTTTAGATGCCTTTATTAAAGATCAGCAGAGTGTCTGGAGCTTCTGTGACCTCTGACCCGCCCTCAGTCTACATAGTGACTGTCATTCATATGTATCACATGCATATGTGAATATAAACAGTTTCCTGTCACCACCAGAGCCTGCAATCTAACAACCCCCCTTCTCATATGCCTGCTCCATGTGTGCCAACACACAGGAAGGTCCCAGAAAACATCTCGATACCCCAAATCAGTCCGGTCCACAAACCATCCACACGGAATCCTCATGAGAACTGAATTAAAAGTGAATGTCTCAGCTTTGTCATGCCCCAGGCTTTCTGAATTAAAAACCACTACGTGCAGGTCCTGACAACCAGGAAGTCTGGATGGCAGCGGTGCTCTTTAAGGTCATCACAGTGAAAACAAGGCGATGTTTGAACAAGGGAAGGGCCTAAATATTTCCATATGTCGTGCAGCATTCGTGCTGTTACGACTCACAGTTTCTCTGTTCTCATTTATAGCAGTCATTTTGGATTTATATTTTGATCCTACATGCCAACTGTATTGATGATTAGACTTTTTACACAGAATAGCTCTAGTTCTGCAGTGTTGAGCTTAAGTTGACATTACTCGTGACAATATCCTTGTGTGTATAATAGATGTCATGTGATAATTCTGTGATAATCCCATGAACAGTACCTCTGTAGGCACACGGATCTGTATTGTGTTACTTTAGTGTAATAGTCGTCCTGCGGGGCCAAACAAGAAGAATGTGTGTGGATATTTTCCCTCTCTCAGCAGACATCTCCCACTGGTACTGCAGAGCCTGAGTGGGAGACAAGAATGTCAAAAAGCCAAAGACTCATTTTTTAAAATCTGCAGTTCATAAACAAAGGACCTCTCATCTATCTTGTCTGTGGAAGTGAGTAGAGGTGATGGTGTGGGTGTGTGCGTGTGTGGGGGTGGTGCACTTGGTATAATTTGTCTGCAAAGGTGCACACGGGTTATCTTAAAGTAAAAGTAACAGATATGACATCATGCATGTGAGCAAGCCAACAGTGACGGTCTGTGCCAATGTCCTCAGCAGGTGTCCGTGTTAGCTGTGTGTATATGGTGTGTGTCTGTGTGTGCCCTCATATGCACGTGTTGGGTTATGCCCACGTATGTGCAGAAGCGATGGCTGGGTCGAAGGTCTGAAAAGACCTGGTACCGCTGTGAGTGTCAGTGGTCAAGGACACAGAGTTCTCCAGGTCCTGTGTCCTCTCCATCTGTCTCCATCTGTGTCTCTCGCACACACACACAGGACACCTTAAACCTTCCAGAACCCTGAAGTGTGGTTACGAGTACAACAGGCAGCTTGAAGCTCATCTGACTTGAGCCTTTTTCACAGAAAGGAACCTGACAAATCACATTCCAAAGAAAATGTCCAGCTAATATTAGTGTTTATTTCAATCCTCTTCTGACCTAAGGCTTCAGCCTCATCTGCCATTATAGGTGTAGTAGTTATAGTTAAAGTTAAGAAACAAACAATTCTTTATTAAAATTTCCAAAAACAATTAACCTATGTTATATATTTTGTTGACTTTTCAATCCCAGAGAAATGTCACTATTTTATTTAATCAGCTTTGTCCGACTCTGCTTCTTCTGGGATAAACGACGTATGACGAAGGAAAAACATGGAGTTGGCCAGTTGTAGCCATTTGACTGTTTTTCCTTCCACTTGTAATTAATCACGATTATTTGTTGCTGTTTGCTGCGTAGGGTGAATACAACTTTATCCCACTCATTCGTAAATTTGATTTGCGCCTGATTTGCGTCAGGTATATTTTCATTGGCATTGGTGGTGAAGACAACAGCTCCCATGATCCCACACTTCTTCACATTGTTAAAAACATTTGTTATTGTTTTGATTGAGAGACCCCAAGCAGTAACATATTGTACGTTTAAGGGTTTTATACAAACTGTAGCAAATACATAATATAGTAGCTGGTCCACACAATATCCTGATAGTAATCCTGATGCTTTTGTTAATCTATCTCTATCTTCTTCCATGAATTGAAGTTTACATGCACACACTGAATTTGGAATAAATCTACAATGTTTTGGGACACACGTCTTTTAATTATAACAAAAACAGATTCCCTGCTGGCTTGTGTAGCGCTCAGACCTGCTCTCTCCATCTGACTTCAGTGCCCCGAAAGAGAGAGCGAGGCCAGAGAAGCTCCGGGAGCAGGGCCAACAGCGTTCAGTCAGACACAGCGAGCCACCCAGGAGTTTCCAATCGCCTCCCTGCCTCTCCTCTCTTGTTCGTCTTTAGTGAAGAAAAAAAAGAAAAAAGAACCGTGTCTGCTGCCTCCAGACTGCAGTGATGAGGCCAGATGCTTTTGGTTAAATGCTTTGTGATGTTTTAATCTCGTTGATATGAGTCGGATGGAATTTGAGGTTGGGTTTGTGCAAGAAGATCATTTTCAACTATCTCTGTATTCTAAGGGTGTTGAGACACTGTGCACACATTCAGATTGTGACATTATGTGGAAGGGCTCACATCCATACAGGATAGTGACATCCTCCTCGGCAGGAAGTGAAGTAACCGGATGTCCCTGTCGTGTTTGTGTGGAAGGACAATGATGACCGTGACTGCTGCCTCATGTTGACTGACAGCCACGCTCCTGCCCTAACCAGCAGTCACAGCAACACCAATTCCCGTCACCATGACTCAGCAGTGACGCCTCGGGGGGTTGGGATTGCCAAGTGATTAACAATAATGTTTTTTTGTCAATTCAAGTGGTGCAATTATTTTTGTCTTTTGCTTTTTCCAGGTTTACATCATCAAAGTGTACTGGAGCGATGGCAGCACGGAAATCATTTACAGACGCTACAGCAAGTTCTTTGACCTGCAGGTGAGTAGGTGTGTTGGTCAATGCATGTGTGAAGCTGCGGTGGTGTGTCATGGTATGTTCTTTTCACACTGTAGGTGCACAGTTTCATGTTTTGGGAATGTGACAGGTTTGAACCTTTCCACCAGCGATTTCTAAAATAGGCCAGAAGGAGACTCTCCTTACCCACCCACATGACACTGGTAATTATATTGCTCGAGAGGAGTCGGAAAATGTCCCAATGCAGTTCAGAGAGGACAGTGATGAATGCGACGACCGCACTGATGACCACAGAAATGTCTGAATCATTCGCGAGCGTCATGCTGGCAGTTGGGTATTGCACAAGGAGGGAATCTCATTAGTATCCTAGTTTCCCTTCCTCTCTCAGAGGTAATGGATCTATGGCCGGGGCCACGTCTGAGCTTCGAGAGCATGGACTCCAGGAAACAAAGAAAGGCAATGGGCACATAGTCAATTTAGGCAAAGCATGCTGTCAACCCTAATGGGATTAAATACCTTTTAATTGATTAGGATGGTCAAAGCACGAGTAGCGAAGTAAAGAATCAGCATGGTTCACTGAGGTTTTCTGAGCCTGAACATACAATGTCAACCAATAGGATGCAAACCATTTCATTACTAATTTCATGATAAGAATATAGACGTCTCCAGTCTCAATGATATAACATCTGTAATTACTTTCTAATTTTATCACCTTTCTATTTGTTGAGGCTTTCCCCAAGTAAAAAGATCACATTTGGCTATAAACAGTAATCAGACTGGTGTAATGAAGGGTCTGCTGGTTATTTAAAAAGATACAAAGAGATGTCTAGCAAAGATTTTGTATGTTAGCAGTAAAAATCTTATTTGTATCTTATCTTAAATTATTAGTCATTGCCTTCTTTAGAAATTCAAAAATGTTGGTTTATTCATTTGGCTTCTGTTGTGTAGGCTGCGGAAGTCTTTTTAGTTTTTGTGTGACTACTGTTGATGTTAGCAGATTATATCTTTTATGGGGAGGTTTATTTTCCAACATGATCTAGAAAGTGAGTCTTAAAAGCTAGAAATCTTAATCTGCACAACATGAACTGATCCTTACAGCAGGATGAATCCATGACTATGAAACAGTTGCTCTTAAAAACATCCCCAAATATTGATAGAACACAGTTAACTGGCACAGATCATCATGTCGAGCTTATTTTACCCATGTGAGCATTTTACCAGCACAAATAACTAATAACATTCCTGACAAGTATGGAATCAACGGTCATATGAGATATCCTCAGCAGGGGCATTCCCAGCAAGTGCTTTCCTTAACCGTGCTCTCAGCTGCTTCCTGTTGCATCAACAGCCGGTGGGTGGTGAGGGAGATATAGATAAACAAAGTAAATAAATAAGTAAAGGGCGAGTTGGCGGGAGAAGGTGACTTTACGTCAGCTGCTCAATGGAGGCAGTTTGTAGCAGTGTCAACTCGAGTTGTAAAAATCAGAGTAAGAAATTGATGGTTGGACCGGACGTTTAATTTTGGGTGTCATCAGGTTTCCTGTAAAGATGGTGACGTACTGAGTGACTCAGTTCCTCTCATTACCATTTCTTCACTTCCTTTCATCCTCCTTTCCTTTTGTTTTACTTGTCTACTCTGGTCATGTCTCATTCTGTAGCTCAATGCCGTTTTCTTGCCCTAGGATTCGGGAGGGCTTCATATGAATAAAGAAAAAAATGATACATAGGGTTAGGGTCAGGAGCCAGACAGGAAGGGTTATTCACCACATCCTGGCACCACAGCTGGTCCAAGCAGCTGATGCTTCAGTTCAACCTGAGCTCTTACTGAGATCACTGACCACAGACTGAGTTCAGTATGATTTTTTATCTATCTATTATATATTATTATATATTCAAAGGACACATTATCAGTCATGTTTCTTTTTATATGAAATGTAGGATTCAGACATTGACCTTCAAGGTCACAGTTATAATCTTTAGACTTTGTATTCCCTCACCCTTCTAATGGTAGTTGTGTTGCTGTAACGATTCTCCTGGCAGATTTTAGTATTTACCTGTTAATGGACATGATAAATAAAAATGGTCCATTAAATGGAGAGCATCTGCTTTGGAACAAGCTTGGCTCCGTGGCTCAGAGCTCTAATTACAAACACATCCTGAGCATATTAAGAGCCAGACGTTCCTCTCACCGAGGATGTTTCTGCTCATACTCACCAACTTTTTCTCTCCTACCAGAGTCTGTGTAGCAGCGTCCCCGAAGTAGCATGAGGGAATTATGTTTCCATTGCTGGAGCTGTTGAATATAGAATGGAATTATAAGTAATTAAGCGTTTTAACATTAAAACTGTGATGTTTTCTTCCCTCCTTTGTTTCGTTGTATTGAATTGTGAACCGAAATAGACAGAGCTGTTGCTTCAGAAAGATGGAAAGTGCTGAGCTTTTTTTGTGCCACAGGGTCATCCATAGCGGCTTTGTGATTTAACAGTTTCCATGCTGCACATGTGTCCACTCAACTTCACAAGCTCAGTCCTCCAGCTCCCCCTCTCACCGTGGATACAGGATACACTTTGATTTTAAAGTTGTTGGAAAAAATCCAATACGTCGCTACTTGTTTATTCAGAGTGGCACAGCTGTCACATATTTTCCACCGCAGTTATATTGAGTAACCAATCATTTTGAAGGGGGGCATACTGGTGTACAAACTCCAGCAGCAACAATATTCTGATATCCTCTTTGCGGAAACCTTCTATTTTGGTTATTTTCACAAAAAATGTAGTGTAAAGCAAGGCAGTGTTATTGCTCGCCCTCGTCCATTTATAGTTCCTTAAATTGAGAATCCAAGGTCAAGGTCAAGCCAATGTATTTTCTCAAGTGTGCTTGAGAATCATTGAACCAGAACCACACCCCCGGGTGCTGTTTTTAATGGGACCCTCCTCTGTGACCTTTCTGGAGGTGGGTGTGCAGACAGGGAATGACTCTTTAGGGATTAACTAAAAGTACGACATTAAACCGAGGCACTGATATCATCCTCGTGCTCCCAGAATAAATGCTAACATTAGCATGTTAGATGCTACCCAGGCAATTTAGTCAGAGGACAGTAACTTTATTTGTGCATCAATGTTGTTTATTATTTAATAGAAACAGGGAAAGTAGTCCAAAAGAGCAAAGCTATTTATTATAGTTTTTATAATATTTTGTAAAGATTTACTTTACAACTTTTAACCCAGTGAACCTTCCATTTAATTCCAGCATTAAAGTTGATGATAATAAGCCTTAAACATTATAATGCAGCAACTGTTAACGCTGAGTCACTGCCCATGCATGCTGTCCTCTCACTGCTTGATAAGTAACTAACAGCTTAGCTTTCTGCAAAGCCTTTAACAGTGTGATTGTCTACTAAAGGGCTAAACATGACCTCATACATGAATCTACAGTGACAGAGTGAAAGACCACTGAAATGTTGAAAAGAGAGCAGTCATTGTTCGTGGACTGTTTATTCTCTCACTCGCCCGTCTGGTGCTTCTCAGGTCTTCTTTATTAGGCCTTTATGTGAAGGCCGACGATGTGGTTAAAGCGGATATGGACTAGACAAATTATAGCCCCAGTGGAAGATTACGTTAGCCTCTGATTCAGCAAGAATTGTTAAATTAAATAACAGTATTTAAAGGTTTACAGTGGCAGGGGCGTATTAACGGACTGGTGATGTGACAGTGAAGAGGCTGGTTCTTAGTTACACTCGGTCTTTTGTTCTAAATGTAGTCAATTAATGACTGAAATGTGCCAAACTATTTATTGTTAATAATTGTTTGATTTAATTTTGACTTAGATTTTTTAGTTTATCTAAGTATCTAATTAGATTAGCCTCGACTTTGTTTGTTACTTTGCCATCTACAGTGTAGAAACCAAAATACCACACATGCTTCAATTTTCACGATCGGGATGGTTTTGCTTCCTGGTGTTATCCAGTTTTGTAGCAAAACAACATGACTGGTCAATGTAGTTCATGCTGATAAAGAGGCAAGACAGTTTGATGCAGACACATATATGTATATAGAAAAATATATATATATCTGCCATTATACCATCTAAACAGTGCCTTTCTCTCCGGCTGACATGGAGACATATCATTTTACTTCATATTAGCTTTGGAAACTCATGTGGAGCTTGGCTGTGCTCCGCCTTGGCTTGACATCCTCTGGCCTGCAGAGCATGAATATCTGATTTTGGGTGGATGATGTAACCAATATTTCCAAGAGACGGGCTTTGCTCTGTGCAGATGCCTTCTTATGTTGGAGTGGCTCTGATTACAGAGGAGATAGAAGCAGACACAGAGGCTGGGTGTGCCTGCACTCAAAGTCAGACACATGGGAACAATTACAACGCGGGGGGTATTGGCCCTTCTGTGTCTCTCTGTCATCGTCTGCCTGTCTTACCTTTTGTTTAAGAAACTAAACTGACTCGGGTCTTTTACTTTGAGACAAAGAGTGACCTCTTCTCTGGCACTTTTTAAATTGATTGTCTTGTTCTCAACAGGGGGATTGAATTGTGTGGCTTTAACTTTATGATGTGGAGCTTCAGCAGTCAGAGAACGAGAAGTGATTTAGGTGCAACAGTTTGTGGCTTGAAATCCTCGACAGACGGATGACGATCTTTTCCTTCTCACATACAATATAAAACCAACCAAAACAGGAATCCAAGCCAGAGTTATGATTTGTGTAGACATGAAACTTTTTGAATAACGTTGTCTACATTTACACCAAAGCTCAGGTCGGTCAGGTATAAAAACAAATTAACTTGTTGTACTCTTATCTATTCAGTATCCTAATGAGCAGCTTGTTATTATTTTTCAGCAAATTCTGCTAATTTTGTTAAGGAGGAACATTTTCAAAGACCGTATGAGGTGGGAGAATATTTCAAGTCAAACATCTAAAGAATTTGATTTAAAATGTGAAAGCTGTAATCTTGATGATTAGTTGGGCTCCTGTATGGGCTAGGCTAACTGAGCTCATTAGATGGTTTTTAAGATAAGTTTAAAATGAATAAATAAATAAGGGATCGATCCCGTCAACTTGCAGATGTTGTTCTCTCCTCAGCACACTTCTGATACCTCTCGTTTCACTGTAGCATCACCAGGAATAACAGAGGAGAAGTCAATGGGTGGATGCAGAGGCTGAGCCAATGTGCCTTCATCCACCCACAAATATTAAATAAGGAAAGTTCCTCCACAGCATTTTAAGGCCATGAGGGGATTTTATTTAATAGAAAAAAAGTTTCATTTTTAGAGAATACGATTCAAACACCTGTTCATCTCTTAATTGAAGACTTTAGAGAACTTCGTGCCACGTATTATTTTATGACAACAACGCCTCTCTGTCTACAATGAGACAGTCCATAAAAAACTATTAAAAATGGCTCTTTGGCACAAGTCTCTGCTTTTCCTGTCACCTCGCCTCATAATACAGCCCCTCCTCTTAGTTGGCTTTGGCTCAATCTAACGTGTTGTTCCAACGTCATTTTCATCTCTCATACATGCTTGATGTAAATGATGTTATGGTTCATGCTGATAGTGAGCTTAGAATAAGAGGAATCACTAAATAATACAAACACTAGTAATACTAATACTAAATCTGACACACATAATAGATCAAAATGTACGTTTGTTGAAACACTGAGTCCTGAAATGACAGATACAGATCTGAAATTTAAACATATTGACTTTAAACAGCTCAAATTCTAGGTTCAGATACTATTTATTTTAATAAGATCCTCCCTGGTTTGCATACATAGCGAGCCAGTTAGTTTTGACCCTGATGCCTCCGTGTAGCTCGGCCTTGAGAGATAAAATTAAATGATAAGATTGACGATGAACAGACCACAGTCAGAAATGGTAATAATGTCATTATGTGCTGGACCCTGACGTGGTTCACATACATGGCCCAGCTCTAAGTGCATCCGCTGATCGGCTTAGTCCTGACTATGTTCCTTTTCTTTATCTTTAACACGAGAGAGAGATGGCAGAACATCCACTGCAAGAGAGTTTTATGTCAAAATGTATTAATAAAAGATAAGAATGACACTTCAGATAGAGTTATGTGGATGCTCTTTTGGTGCAATCTGTAAAAACAATCTATAAAAACAATAAACTGGTAAATGATTGAAGACGTTCTCTCTATATTTACATCATATAACAGCTTGTTCTCTTTGGTTCAATTAAAGTAGTGTTTTTAAAGTACTGGATTCTAAACTCCAAGCATAATATCATTTCCAAAGATTCGATCACGAAACATTTAAGTCAAGTTATTTTATTCTTTAACCTTTTGGTCGGAGGTCTGCAGGTGTCAGAGAGAGAGAGAGAGAGGGTGCAGTTAGAGTTCATTGGTTAAAATGGCCAGGTGCCATTTTTATTAGCCTCAGCTGCAGCTAGAGAATGGAAGACACACAGCCACACACACACACACACACACACACACACACACACACACACACACNCACACACACACACACACACAGCTAGAGTGCCGCAATTTTTTCTGTCCAAACCCGACTAAGAGAAAACTAAGCCTAACCTGTACCCGTCAAGCTGGCATTCTTTTTTTTTTTTGTGGCATAAAAAACAAGTATAGATTCCAGCCAACGTCTCCGAAACCATCCAGAACCAGAATATAATTTCCTGAACATGGAATCCACACACTTAACAAACATATATCCAGATGACCAAATGCATGCACTCAACTATTTCACCAGTAATCAACAATAATGACATGAGATGTCAAAACCTTGGAACATGAGCTATAGTTCACTGTGACAGGGAGAGAAAGACTAAAATGATTTACGATGAAAGCAGATAGAGTTTTAAAAGGACAGAAAGATCAAGTGAAATTGAGAGAAATGATCTGAGGAGTCACTTCTCTCTGGTCTTTACAAATGACAGAAATGTTCCACTATGTCAGCGCAGCTCCAGCAGCACATGAAGCGGAGAGGAAAAACCATACCATCTGCTCAGTACATTCCTAATCATTGGCAGGCCTTCTTTTATTGGCCCGGTTCCTTCTAGGAACTGCTGATTTGTAAAAAAATGTGAACTCTTCCTCTACAGCCTCAGCTACCCTGTTGTGTTTAATGTGAAATGCATGTTTATATGCAAGCGCAGATACTTTGTGTGCTAACAAGTTTGAATTAACTGCGGTTTCAGATGGAGTTGCTGGATAAATTCCCAGTGGAGGGAGGCCAGAAAGACCCTAAACGCAGGATCATTCCATTCCTACCAGGTAAGAGTTCAACACATGCTGTCCCCTAAAATCCGCCCCTTTGCCCATCAAAATTCAAAATAGTTCTTTCTTGGCCCAAATACCATCCTTCCACCAAGTGTCGTGACATTTTGTGTAATCCTAGCATTCTTAAACTCAAGATGTCATCTCGGGTCTAAGAAATTTCAAGGTCCATTTTTCCTTATTTCTGAAATTGTATAGTAAATGATAAATTAATGACTACTTGGACAAAATTGATGATAAGGATTATGGTCAGCTTCTGCCCACAAAACAACACACAAAGAACAGGGAGTGGGGAATGTCACTAAGTACTCTGTATTTCCTTCTCGCTTTGTTGTCGTGTGTTTGCTCCTTTTCTGATTTCTCCATGAGAAACACTTGTGTGCATTGGGTTTAAAATGTGGACAAGGATGAGTCAGTCAGAGACAACAGAATGTTTTGTTGTTTACATCCATGCAAAGGAACAATCTCACTGTTCTGTCAACCAAGCGAGATGTTTCTTCATCTGCATATGCAAGATAAGACTTGGAGCCTACGTGTCACACTAGGTACCTGCTGTTGTTTCTGTTAATGAAAAACATTATAATGCATTTCAAGCTCTGTTCTTGGCTTTTCTTCATTGTCTTGAGGCAATAAAGTGTTTCTGGAACAAAAGCTTTGGGGTGAGCTCAACCAACTGTTGAAATAGTTTTGAATTCAGATCCTGCTGTAAGTGATTCTTTATGAGAGCTTGAAAGAAAGCCTCACCCAGGGACCCCACCCACATCTCCCCCACCATGCAGACTTGGGACGGGCGGGGGCTAGGATTATTTTTGTGGCCATCCAGGTCTGGAACTCATTGAGATAATACACACATATGCGCACAGACACACACACACGCACAAACACACAGACTATTTGATGGACTGTGTAGGAGGAGGGTAAGAGGAAAGAGCGATTCATGCTTTTCATACTATTGCCTACCATTCCTTTATACAATCAGACATGTCAAATAGAATAGAATAGCTTTAATTGTCAGAATATAATTTGCAGAACATTTTTTCCTGACAGCCAAGGAAATATTTCACTTACAAAGCACAAGTTGGGACTGTGGGCTGAGGCGGCACGGAAGTGGCTCTCTCTTCTTGGTTCGGTTTATTCAAGGCCTCAATGTGTTTTTACTCTTTTACTCCACATCAGCAAAGTGGTTTGTCTGCACATGTGCATTGTGCAGAATTTTACCAGCATGGACACACCACAAACTTGATTGCTGCATTTAGTTGTGACTCCATATTTGAAGTCACAGAATTAGTTTGAAAGATTTCCCAACATTGTCCAGTTAAATCCACACCTTTAGCTATTTATGACTATTTTGTTACCTCAAGAAAGGCCATGTGTCATCTGAATACTTCTTTGATATGACATCCCCAGGCGATGCTCTTTAAGGTGGTGTCAGCAGCCCAGCCCTTGAAAAACAGCTGATATGTTCTTGACCAATCATCTAAAGTTTTTTGACTGTTCGTCAAAACCCCATAAGGAATGTAAGTCTGTTTATCTAGGGGCCCTGAAGAAGAGTAGAAACTTTCTTCCCTGAACTTGAATCCCTGAAGTTGCCTATGAATTTGTACTTTGGGTTGATTTTAATGTTGAGCCACAGGATACTTCAGCTGCTCTGTGCTGCTGGGATCGTTCTGCCTCCCACAGTGGGAGTTACAGCACTTTGGACAGGTCAAGCATCTGTCTATTACAGCAGCTTTTAAAGTTGTGTGTGGCCGTTGTCAGTCAAGGTTTAGGGTTAAAGGCAACAAGTCGGTGGACACTCAGCTTTTCGAGGCCCTAAAATTGAGATCTTTGTAAATGCTGCTTGCTTCACTTTACTTTGAAAGTAGACATGCAGAAACCTACACTTTTGGAAATGGCGATGCACATTTACCTATATCTGCCTCCTGATTGGGTCCTAAAGTGCTGCCCATGATGCACTGTATGAATGTGTGTGTGAATAGTTCAAACTGTACTGTGTAAAGCGCTTTGAGTTTTTTAAGCTGCAATATAAAAAACAAACCAGTCACGTTTCATCTACAAGCTAAAACATGCAGCAACATCAGTAACAGTTCATCTTAAGTTCATGCAGAGATTACTTCTGATACGGTTGTTTGGACAGAGATCATTCCCATTTCAGAAATTCTCTTATAAAACTAAAATGTGTTAGAGTGGAAGCAGCCTTGCTAAGACTCATCTTGTAAAAAGTCTTAAATCAACCCTTGAATCATGAAATACAAGTTAGTGTCAGTTCTTGTGAACCCAAGTTTGAGTCAAGTATTCCCGAAGTGTGTGTCAAGTTTTTCCTTTGAATTCTGGTGATGAAAATGACACAGCATTTTCCTCTCAAAGCTATTTTAGTAGTGTTTATTCATTTCAGTGTGTAAATACTCAGTGTGTGCCCATAGAAGGCCTGCTTGTTTCTAATTTCTCCATTCATTTACTTTCTTTTAACTTCCTTGTTGAGGATTACAAGGTCAAAACTTGACTTGAAACCTCAAGTCCTCACTGTAGTGACCTAACTTGGACTGAAGTCTACAGAATCTGTGTTATGTAATGGTTTTAGCTTCTCAAATTCCCCCTGAGGAGACAAACATTCATGTGTGACGAGTCCAGTGCTTAAGAACCATGTCCTGAGAACAGCTTACTGTGTGTAAGGTGTGTAACAATCCCCCTCTCTGTGTTTCCATCTCTGTACCGTCACCTCCCTTACTCTGCCCAGGAAACAGAAGTTGTTTGATACCCGCCTCGGACTCTCGAGATTTGTCACGAAGTCAACCCTGCCTCGGCCGTGGCTCCGAGCAGCTTTTCCTTCCCTCCCCAAACAAGCCCTTTTCATCAGCTGCACCCATGAGTTGCCCTGCATACAGAGTGGGCAGTGTTGAGTCAGTGCTTCTCTCCTGACCCCAGAAAGCTCTGGAAAACCATCAAAAAAGCTTACTGTGTGAGGAGTGATGGGGGAGACGTCCAGGGTTGACTTTCAAACTCTTTAGTTTTCTAGAGATGTCCAGACAGTGTCCTTTTTGGTTTCTTTGCCAACACCTAAGAGATTTGGAATGTCTTCTCTAATTCTTCAGCGAGTCACTCTTCTTTTTATGAGTCTCCCTCACATTGGACTGTACTTTTCTCCTCTGCGCAGATGTAGTGACAAATCAGGTTCATTTCAGCCTCTGAACCACATTTCGAGGCAGTAAGTGGCAGAGTCATGGGAGCATCTAAGTTGTAGGATTCATGAATGTTTGCACCAAATCAAACCTAAAGTGGTTTAAATATTTACTTTAGCCCCTTTCGCACTGGACAAAAAACACTGACTAACATCTGGATTTTTGTCCTTCAGTAGAAGAAAGGCACAATCAGCTTTCATCCCCGGGTCAAATGACTCTGCGTTAGTCATGGGTTTCTATCGGCTTCAGCTCCAATCAGCAGTGAAGGAAACATGACATCCGGGTGGACGTGCTTATTTTCACCCCTTTTCTAGTTCAAAGCCATGACACGCATCATGAAAGCATTGAAGGCCGGCTCTTTGATATCACGGTGGGGAAAACTGTCATCATTGCTTGTTGTTTTTGTCACCGACCTGAGTAAACTTTTAGGTCGCCATGAGGGAAGAGTGGTTGGAAGTACTGAGGTAGAAAATGTGCAAGTTGGGTGTTGTGTGAAATTGATCTAAGAGTTTAACCAGCTTCAAAGACGATCAGAAATAAAACGACAATATTCATGATCACTATTTCGTTCGCTCTCACTTATATGCACACACTCCAAAAAACTTTTGTGGTTTTCAGCTGTGTGGGTTAAAGAAGCAGAAAAGGCAATTTTTAGTACTTAGGTGAAATGGTGCCACTGGAGGCGGGTCGGTCAGCGGCCTGATTCATGCCTCAACAAGTCTGCTTTAAACACATACTGAACAAACACCTCAGCCCTGTGATGGAGGTGATAGAGTGACTTTTAAAAACATGTCCCTCTCTGCACTCAGGATCTTTTTTTCTTACAGCCTCCACTTCCTGCCCAGTTCCCGCTGTATATGCCGACATTAGAGCTGCCTCTGTGAATTTATCAGAGAAACTTAAGCAGCTAAAATGAGCAGAAAATAGATGCTGGCTCTGGAAATTTCCTGCATACCATTAGGTTAGAGGAGTGTTTTAAGAGGCCTATTTGCAGCCATTTCTTGTTATTGTTATGGCGACCCAGCTCGTCTGTGACTGTGGGTGTTTGTGCCTGGTGATGAGAATGGGGAAGCAAGAGGCATTTACGCTGTCATGCAGACGCAATTTGCTTTCCCCAGATCATTTATTCATGACTCTGAAAGGCCAGATTTTCACCTAGCTCCTTACCCGCCTCATTGTGCTGTCAGTGTTATTGATGATGCCAAGTCTGCATGTGTCTGCACTCTAATATGCTAACTGTGCTAATCACTGGACCTTAACCTTTTAAAAAGGGGCTTATGCACGGTGGCCAAGAGAGCTCAACGCACTGCAAATTCAGAAAACACATGCAAATAGAAAAAACAAGAGCAAATTAAGAAAACAACATGAATTTGATGACACATGCATGCGTTGCAAAAAAGTCACAACATGTGCAAATACAGAAACAAGCTTCAAATTGGGAAATGTTCCCAGGGGACCTAAATAAGTGATGAATGTAATTCAATGCTTTGTGAAGATCATTGGAATGGACTGTTTTCTTGTGGTGATGCTGGTTGCAGCTTTTATTTCTGAAATTGTAAAAGTGACTTGCAGTAATTGAGTTGTGGCGATTAAAGAAGCTGCCGTTTGTGCAAAGTTCAGTGGAGCTCTGCCCAGTACGCAGAAACCCCGAACTGGAGCCTCAGTTGTCTTTACCATTGTTGTGAAGAAACTGTTATGATCAACATTCCCAAATCGCACCAAATCCGACACAGCTCTTCGTTTTGCCCTTGACAATACACAGGCCAAGTGCGGCAGTTCTCCAGATATACACGTTACTCAGATTTCTTTCTTATTATTAGATCGATGACTATTAGAATATGTTACTATTGTGCTGTGATCTAAAGCAACGTATCAGTTCTCTTCTACAACTTTGGGTTTTCTGTTCTTCTAAATCCATTTTTTCTACCATCATCCAGGGAAGATCCTGTTCAGGAGGAGTCATATCAGAGATGTGGCCATGAAGAGGCTAAGGCCAATCAACGAGTACTGCAGGGTGAGTGCATTGACCAATATGGGACTTTAACCTGTAAATCTGCAATAATTACATTTCTTGAATATGCATGAAAACCACACTGACCAGTCAGTGGTAAAATATATAAAGACCAAGGTACAGGTACAGTGGTTAGAGGATAAGAAAAACAAACTGCAGCCTCCCACCCACATTGTTTCAAACAATCCATGAATAGGAAAAAGGAAAATAGTCTTTTTCTTTGTGTATATATGAGCAACACAAGTAGTTTCTCACAGAGCATTCAGAGTTACACTGAGGGACAAGAACATCTGGTTTCAAGAGAACCTATATGTCTTGGTTGTAATATTTGACTCCATAGTCTAATATTTATCAAATTTGTATTCACCTTCAGGGTTGTAGCAATTTAAAAAAGTTTCATTTAATTAAATTAAGCTCACAGCCACGATGCAAGATTCACGTAAGATTTATAGGATTACATCGCACCTCGCATTTTACACTGACATTGTGTGGTGTGTGCCATACTGAACTCCCTGGAGCAAACCTGTGTGACAGCAGGCGTCCACCCTGCGGAGACGTCCTAAAAGCTCCCCAGGTGCCTCTGACTCTGACCCTCCCTGCACCAGCAGACAAACGAAAGGTTAATGTCTCTCAAGGGATCAATAGTGTTTCAGCAAAATAAAAATCTGTTGCTGTGGAGAGGAGAAAATGTTACACCCAAATATGCAGTAACCCATCATGTTCCCCCCCGGGCAAGATAATGTATAAATGTAGGTTCAAGACTGAGTGGACTTGTGTTGTTGAAATACCACAGCTTTCCATCAGTTTTCAAAAGATAATGTAAAACTGTGCATTATCCAGCCCATTACATGGCTTTTCACCAGAGAGATTAATCACTTGGCAGGAACATGGGAAAAAAAATGCAACAGCACAGACTCCGGCTCCACTGTAGCAGCACCGTGACCATAAAACTGCCAATAGCCAGCAAATAATCGCTGCGATTTGACAGAAATGTAACCATGGTGACTAAAATAAATACATGATTGAAGATCCACATCTTAGCAACAAGTGGGAAATAAATCCAAAGCAATAGTTTAAAAACGTCAATTTTTCAGCTATTTTTCTATTTTGCAAACTGCAGTGCTAACCAAGGAGATTCATGAATCACACCATCATTACTTTTTATGACGGGACGTTAAAAATTGGATATCGTGGCAGGAGAATCACGTGATTTTAGACGTGAAGCGGAGCTCGTGTATTGAGAAACACCAGGGAGGGAGGTCTGTTGTGGTGCTTACTGTCAGCACAGAGTGAAGCGCCGGTGCTGAGCTTGCTCCATGTCAGCACATCCTCAGCCCATAGGCTGTTTTTGTTGAATATTCCAGGTTTCTTACCTCAGGGCCTCTAAACCATCCACACCTCCTCCTCTCTGTCTGAGACAGGATGTTTGAGGATGTTTTTATAAGTTAGTTCTGACTTCGTCCAGACTACATACTACTATGCCCTCTGATGTTTTCACCTGCACAATTTCATCTACAGATTGATGCGGCGAGGATACTTTACGTTCGTATACTCCAACTGTACAGCTGGGAGGAAACATCTTTACCCACTTATGTGAAAAATAAGAGTTTTGGAGAAGGGATGGGAAGAGTTGTTGATTCATGCCTGTGGGTGTGGATGTTTATGAGAATAGTGGAGCCAGTTTTACACCAGTGGTGTTGCTGTACACTTTTAAGTTGTTATTGTGTAAGTGTGTGAAGTTATACAAAGAAAAACTGGTTAAGATTGTTCAGTTTTGGAGTTCAGTGGATTTGGATCCACATTTACACGTCACATAATAAAGATGTCAACAGTGTGCAGGATTCCTGGCCAGATTTTTGTCCTCAGCACTCTTCTTCATGAGTTTATGGTGTCCAAGGACATTGTTCATATCATATTTGAGGACAGGGCATGAGAGCATTGAGTGGAAAGAAATTAGTGCAATCCTGCTTCAATGCTTTTAAATCCAAGCAGTGAGAAGTCACAACTCTTTTCTCAGCTTTTTCACACGTAAACAGTGTCTGTCACATACGAGACACATATAAGCCCAGTTCTACTTGTGGAGGATGGTGGATGTTAGGTCAAAGTTATGAGAACAAAAAGTTGCCTTTATAAGACATAAAGTCATTATTTTGAGACATTAAGTCATAGTTTTTAGATACTAAGTCATTATTTTGATTTATTAAGATATGATTTTGAGAACGTTTTTCATTACTAAGAGTTGGAGGATTTTTCAACAAGTGGCAGAAATGGGCGTCTAAAATCACAGATAGTGGATAAAGACTTAAAACATCATCCAGCCTTCTGCTTTGGCAGTAAATTATGTTTTCTGCAGTGAATGCTGAAACAAATCTCAACTTGACTGTAAGCACAAACAAAACGGGTCGACAAGGTGAAACGACATGTTTTTCTGCGGGAAGAGCTGAGTCAGCCCTCTGTTGTACAGCTGAGGTTTTACCCTGCATCATGGAATTTCCCCTGGTTGTGAAGTCTTGTGTTTTCATTGAAGTCAGGAAAAAACGTCGGATAAAAAAAGACAGAGAGAGAAAAAAATCCTGGAACCAGGGATTGTTTGTAGAAACCCAGAGAAAGACCGCTGAGCCTTGGACGGGCTGCCCGTCACACCACTCAGAAAGTCTCAATGTCCTCCTGATCTACATTAGTCTGTATTCTCAAAAATAGAAACAAATATCTTTGTGTTATTAAGATTTTGGATAAATCAATACACTTTTTTTGATTTACAATATATTTTAAATGAGGGATGCTTTTGAGATGTAACAGACAGTTTTTAAATGAAAAAAACGTGTTGTTGTTAAAGTCCACACACACACACACACACACACACACACACACACACACACACACACACACACTTTTACGTTAATGCTGCCTGCTGTAAAAAAAAAAACAAAAAAAAAAACACACCCATAAAGTCCATTTGCTGTAATGTACCCTGAGCCTCCGTCCCGTCTCCTCCCTGGGGAGAATTGTAATGAGTGGACAGGCCGCAGGCTGACACAAGAAGAGAAATAAATCCAAGGAGAGTGGAGCTGGTTCTCTGACCTCAGGAGCAGCGTAGCTTTCCGGGCTGCAGGAGCAGACATTGGTGGGGGG